CCCCTCTGTCTTGAAGTCCCTCCCACCAGACGACCATCGGCACATGCACGCGCGTCGTACGCCTATTTTCACGTTAACTCGACCCTACCGACCGCTACAGCACACCCAGGTAACCCGGCAACATGGAGTGAGCCCTTTGAAAACCCCAGCATCCATCTCACCTGTCCAGGAGAAGGACGGCAAGCTCCGAGTCCAAACTGAGGCCGAGACATTTGCGAAGTTCTCTCCATCTCTGAAAGGCTTCACCGATATTCACGCGCGTTTTATTGCGCCTGTAGTCCGACTCTCTCTTGGCCGTTCTTCTCGTTAGGTCCGTCTTCCTCCTCTTGGGCAGCTTTGTGGTGTAGGCTGTTGTTGCCAAGGCGGGAATTGCAACTTTTCCTGCAGGAATTTCCGCCATTGAATCAGGATTTCACTGTCTACAGGGACGTGCACGCGCACCGTGAGGCGCAGCCAATGGGAACGCGCTCTCTCCGATCTGACCTGTGATTGGCCGAACGGTCCCGTGACGAGCCCCAGCCGAAACCTATATATACTGTCAATGAGCACTAAAGGGATGCTTGTTGGTTTATCTTCTGTACGTTAGAATAAGATGAAATAAGAGAACCGAGGCTGAACTGAGGCTCTTATTTACTCCTGTTTTATATATTAGATACAGCACACACACACATACAATATCTAAAGGATATCACACTTCATGCAGTGGGGCAGATAAAGTATTTAGGTAGCCTACAATTTGGAGGTAGTAGGTACTCTTCACTGGAGTGTATTCACATATCAGAGGGAGATACTGTACATTTGACCTCATTACATTTTTCTGACAGCTGTTACTATATATACTACAAAACCGATGATGACTCCATACAATGTGTGTTCAACAGTGCTGGTAAATAGGTAAAATTACCTTTGAACATGCTACTCTGTAAATAACTATCCAATAATAGACGATCAAATAAAGCTTACGAACCAAATTCTTATCATTAATGTTATCAGTTAATGTTGCTGATATTAATGTACTTTAACTTTAGTAAAAAGCAAGCAGAATCTTGTATACATGTATATTGTATTGATGTATTTTTTCTGGTATTTCCACGTCTGCTACATAGACTCGATGTAATTTCCAATTTCAATAAAGAGAAATTCAGACAACTTGAACAAAAGGTTATAAAATTTCTACCAAATAAAATGAATAAATTGTCCTCTACGTTTTCCCTTTGAGGGGTTTCATCAGCAGGAATAAAGACAAACACATGGTTCTATAAAACATAATGCTGTGAGGTTCAAACAGCATAGTTTTATTGCTCAGCTTTCTGCAAGGGTACAAGAAGTGTATTACTTTTCTTCTTTATTTTCCTTATGTACAGGTGTCAGTTACAAGCTCACAGAGCAGCTGATGTGAAAAACTATGAACACGTATACTGTAATAATAAATATAAAAACAGATAGGAAATCAAAAGAAATAAAACATGGTGTTTTTTTTCAAAAAAAAAAACAAGATTTTTTTCTGTTTTATACTGAATTCAATCAAAAATCATTTACACACACACACACACACAAATTTGCATGTAAACCTGTAAATTTGTACTTAAAAGTGTGGGGAGAGAGTTTGCTGAACATTACAGGTTGTTGTGGCTTGTAACCAATTAAACCATCATTTAAGTACATGATTATGGCCAGAACTCAATGTATTCAATTAGATTAGTCAGATCAATTGATTATATATCACAGCTTGAAACAATTACAATGACTTACAAAATTGTGAAGGATGTCTGACCAATTTGGCTGCTTAACCGAGGGGAAAAGTGAGATTTCCCCTCGCCAGGAAGCACTTAACCCCCACTTTTGCACTGAAGACTGAACCAGCCAGAAAACTTGGTGCCAACAAAGAAATAACAAAGAGCAGAAGTGGACTGTGTGCACTGGACAAACATACATGTGTGCATATCAAGAATGTGTGTATATATATATATGTTATCTACATAAAAAAAAAAGAATCAGTCCATTAACTATTTGGTAAATAGAAGGAAGTGTCTGATTATATCTTGGAGTCCAAGTATGCATAATGTGTGCAAAAAAAACGTGTAATGCATTTAATTTCTGCCTCTGAGTTAGTTATTAAATGGTAAAATCAAATAAATTCTCTGTAACTGTACAAAGATGAAAATGTCAATGTGCTCCGTTTTGTTTCCGTTTTCTCTGATGACCACAAAAAAAAAAAAGAAAAACCTCCAGGAGTACCAGCTAACAAACTGTTCATGGTTACAAATAAATGCAGGCAGTATACACATACAAAAAAAAGAACATTTAGCTGATTTTCCCAAGTCAAAAAAGTTTTCTAAGAGTAATAATTATGCAAATAAATAGGCTTTATCTCTTGAGCATCCATTCATGCAGAGGGTTTTCTTTGGATGGAGGCTCCTCACTTTGGCCTCTCTGGTTTCTTAGTAACGTTTCATTCTGGTTGAACATTTTCACCGTGTAGCACCCAGGAGTTCAGCAGCAGTCAACCTCCAACATTTGCAGCTCAGAGAGGATTTGAGGCCATAATCAGCATTCAGTACACCCCCCACCCACCAACCAACCCTCCCCCGTGCATATGAAACAATATTGTTGTCTGTGCTGTTTGGTATTCAGTGGTGACAAAGACCTCCAGAGCAGCAACTATGACCGTTCATGTTCTCCTATGAAGGTATGTGTGTGTTAACATGTGAAAGTGATTGACCAAAAGAAAAGGTCACTTTAAACTGCCAACTTTTACACTCTATCATGGGTTTTAAAGACAGGGCCTCTGAAATATAGTTTCCATTCAAACCAATTTTACCGCTCCTCACATACTAGCCTAATAAATGTAAAATAAGAAAAACATAAAAAAAAAAACAAAAAGGAAAACTTCACCTGAGAATGCAAAGAGGTCTGTGACAGACACCAACATGCTTGCATTTAAACTGAACAAAAAGAACAAGCAACAATATACAAAATAGCTATGTATTTGTACATATATACTCAAAAATTACAGGTGTATAGATACTTTTTACTCAGTATATTTCTAATGTAGTCGTATAGCAAATGAAACATGATATATTTAAATCTTATGTGAAGAAAGCACTCCTGCCATTACTGCTCAGTTTGTAAAGTGCTCTAAAGTGACAAGAGAAAGAAATACTTCTGCCTTTTTAAACTGATGATGTGACTGAAAATAGTCACTTGCCTTTGAATAGCTTTTTTTCTTTTTAAATCAAGCCTGGTCCCTCGGACAGTTGTGCCCTTTTCACATATAATCTGACAGGAAGTGTGCTGGGTTATGCTGGATTTGATAAAATAAAAAATAAAAAAACATGCATACTTCGTTAACTGCTGGAGGCAAATGTGTAAAAGAGAGAAAAGGAAGACGAACCAGGCTCAAAAAGTGAGGTTCCATCAGCTCTGCAGCTTCAAATACAGGAGACTGTGCTAGTAGAGGTGGTGGGGGATTCATCTGTAAAATGTCTACCTTCCTTGCATACAAGCACACAATTGTATACACATGCAGAAACATACAGACACACACATTTACAAGAGCTGTGGCCACAATGCAGTGATTCAGGGGAAAAAAATACGCTTCTTCTTAACCAGAGTCCGTCGCTAATCTTTAAACAACCCACCAAAAGCTTGACTCCAAAAACGCCACAAAACATCGGACCCACATCCAAGTCAGTCTGTATGAGTTTCATTTCAAAATTATATATTCACAAGTTATCTGGTTTGACAGCTACAAAACGACTGCTGGTATGACAGTTAAACTAACTGTGAAGCATTGCTGTAAACTAAATATTTCCTATTCTAAATTTGATTGAAATTACTTTTCCAAAAAGAGAATACACGACATTTTGGAATGAAACCCCTCAAATATCAAAGCATTACACACTGAGGTAGGATGAAATTGTGGCGCTCCTACAAGATGAAGCAAACCAACTCTGCAGCCATGAGGATTGGAAGGTGTGTTGGTTGAGGTTAGGATGGCTACTAAAGGACAAGATATGGCTACCTGCAGTGTTAAAGATTCAGTAGCATGACAAGGTTCAATTCAATCAGTTTAAACTGCAAAACAAAACGACTCACTGTTCTCAAATATCAATGTCTTTCTTCTTTTTTTTACAGAAACACTTCTGTAAGATGTTGAACTGTACGTTGATGAACTGCTTCTTGATTCGATTTTAAGTGAGATGACCGGGGAATTTTTTTTTTCTTTTTTTAAGCAAACTCACAGCTGTTAAGAGAAATGCTGCAGCTCTTATCTTAATTTTCTCTGTTTTTCACACACACACACACATTATACCAAAACAAAAACACCCAAACAAATAAATGAATAGAAAATAGATGACAGGGGATGTCTCTCTAGCAGCTGTTCAAACAGATATTGATAAGGGAAGAATGTGGAGAGCGGTGAGAGAAGAGGAAGACTGCAGGCTGGTCGAAGACGCACGCATCAGGCTCTGAGTGAACCTGTCAGCACATCGCTGTGACAATGATAGAGTCCTGCACACAGTTACACATGTTCACACACAAACACACTCTCCAATGTGTCTCTCATTCCACTGCGAAGCCACAGGTCTCCTCAATCGCTGTCAGCAGCTTGTCATATAGCTTGTCATAGCTCTCGTAGGGCGGAATGTCAATCCGATTGAAGCTGGAGAGAAAAGAAAGAGTTCACATGAATTGAGCTATCAGAGACTGGAAGGTATTATATCCCTTAATCAATAATCAGTGATTGTGTGCATGTTATGTTTGTGCAAGTGCATGTGTGTGTTTAGTTGCATGTGACACACACCAAGTGTGGGCTTTGGGCAGATTGTTGGTATTAGCATCAATCTGATGGATGGTGAACAGTCTGGGTCCTGCAGCACCTGAAGACAAAACACAGACAGGATCCATCAGGTGCAGTTCAGCAGCTTCAAGTTCTAGTGTCCAGCAGTGGTTTATCCATTTATTTTAGAATATGGACAAAAGGCAGTATCATGATTCAAAGCAGTGAAAGTGGAACAGAAGCTAAAGACTGAAGTGGACTTCAGCTCTTACTGAGATATATAATAATATGGACACGGCTGAGGAACAGGTTAACACACACAGAGTCAGATAAGTACCCTGTAAAGCCTTGAAGCCCTGCAGTGGGACTCTGGATGAGCCAGTGACAAACTGCAGTAGCCGGGCCCTCCTCTCCTCATCAAACGACTCCACAGCTTTCCAAAACCACTTGACGATGTTGCTGTCGGGGGTGCAGTGCTTCAGACGGGTGTTGGACTTCCAGTCAGAGATGTCAATCTTTCCCAGGCCACACACTATCAACTGAAGGCAAAAGAGGGAGATGGAAACTGTTAACTACTACTAAACTAAATATTAACTTCAATATTATACCTTACAAGTGTATTTGGAATAATGATTGTATTTTGGAAGATGGAATAGAAGATATTTTCCGTCACCAAACAGTGTAAATAAAAATTATAAAATGTGTTTGATCCAGCTACAGTCACAGCTATCACCAGCCACACTTTTATTTTGAAAGTCTTGTACCTCCAGTTCTTTCTCATCGAAGGATTTCAGCAGGTGTTGAGGAATAACCTCATTGAAGCCTTTCTGCAGGGCCAGAAACTGAGCCTCGATGCCATGCAGGAAACGCCAGTTCACATACAACCTGAAGAAGGAAGGGGAAGATACACAGTTCGTTTAACACTTGAGGGACTGCAAATACAGTCATTGTGACACTGAATTAATGACAAGTCAACATTCTTGTCTTTGTGTGTGCGCCTCTGTCTCCATACCTGACATACTCCTTCTTGGTGTCCTCTGAAACGGGGATACTCTTGCCGTTGGGTTTGAGCTCATGTTGGATGATTTCTCCGTAGGCATTGTGCTCTACACAGAAAGTGTGGTCCAGGACGCCAGTGATGTCATTATCCCTGAAGCAGGAGGAAGGTGAGGTTAGAGAGAGAGATGGTTCGTAACACAGAAATGATCTTTCTTTACTACTTTTTCCATTATTTTATGCAATTTGGTCCAATGATCTGTACACAACATTTTTGCGGTTTATTTTCATAAAAAAAGCAGCATTTATCATCCTTAACCTTAAAGATGACTCAGCAGAGATTACTACTTAACAGACATAATAGTGGATGACATTATCATTAAGAGGTTTTAGACCCTATCAGGAGAAGATTGTCACAACATCCTCATGTGGAAAACACTCATCACTGTGTCAAAACAAACAGGAGAACGACTAAACCAGCAAGAGCGTTCATTTTTGAGTATGGATGTCATCAGCTTAACAGCAGAGGGCACCACAGTCGTAGGAGAAGTTGAGAGAATGGTCAAGTTTGTGTGCTCAATGCCTTTTTAATCTGTACAAGTTGTTTACTGTTCCACTGGTAAAAAAGGAAACCAGTATTAAGATACAGCTAGGTCATAGAAGAGAACTTTAATTGAAGGGGGGAGTGACACTCAAGAATATTGCTTTTACTCTTAATGTTAATAGCAGTAATATATGCGTTTCCTCTAACTTTGGGTTGCGAGTGAGAGAATCTAGAAAATAATGGGTTGTCTGGAAACAAACAAAAAAAAAGCCTTACAGGATCCAGACAAGGCTGTTGTGGAGGTCAGGGTCAACAGACTCCATATCATCCAGCGTGATCGGTTTGCCCAGCAGCTGTTTGTAGAAGGGCAGAGTGAAGCCTCCGTCTATGTAGTGGCCGTGGAACACCGCCATGCCCATTATACGACCCACGAAGTGGAAATACGACAGGTGCTCCTGCATTTAACAACAGTATTCATGTAAAGGGTTTATTCGTATCATATCAGTTTTATATAATACACAGATTGAGAAGTACAGTTTTACCATAATACTAAGAGGTACACCCAGAAAAGAGTATAGGTCATAACTTCAGGATCATTTACAACATGTACTGAGCATAATCCATTCACCAAAATAAAGTTATGTAATTATAACTCCCCCTCTCTCCCAAAATGTGTTGATTGATGAGTGTCTGATTTTGGCTTCATCATCCCAAGATATCCCAACAGCAACCTTAAAAACAACTTAATGTTTTTGTTTATATCTGATGACTGGCTGCATACATATATTATGATCACACATCTACTACAAGTTATATAAAGCTATAAAATGAAATCCTTCCTACCGGGTTGACGGCAGAGTCAGGGTTAATCTGTAAAGTGTAGATGTCATCTCTGGAGTATTGGAACAGGCCGTAGTAAGGGTTCAGCATCTCGTGGGACAGCAAGTACAACCATTCCCTAATGTACCCACAAACACCGATTCATTAAGGAAAACGCACTTCAAACATTGTTCAAAACAAGCATAAAAAAGCATAGCATGAAGCCACAGAAAAATAAACACAACAAAGTACCTTGCTACCCCGCCATAGTCCAGTCCCTCCTCTCCTCTGAATTTGATCATCAGTCTTTTCCAGAGATCCTTTGGACGCATCTTCATCACCTGCCGGTACGACTCCTACAATTGAACGCATACAGCAAATTAATATCATGAAACAGAAAACAAGACAAGCTTGACCAATGTCATAGAACGTGACTCTACAACAGGGGTACCCAAGCTTCCAGCCCTCCAAAGCTTTCCATCTGGCCCACAGAATGGTCACTGATGAAAATATTCATATATACACGGTACATTTGAATATCTGGCGACATTAAAAGCATTTAACTGCCAAAAACACAAGTTGACTTTCATTATGAAGTAGTTGTCACAGGAAGTCACAGGTCATCTAAAATGCGTTTACAAAACAGGACAATAGCAACATTTCCTACATTTTTTGACAGCGGATCAGTTTGAAATATTGCAGGGAGGAATGGAATTAGAAGGAGCAGCCACAGTGAGCGGTTAGATGAAGAGCTGCAGGCGACACGCTGCACACCTCCAATCTCTCTGCCAGGCAACCAAAATGACTTTCACTGTCACTGTTCAGACTCAGCCGGGGGGCACACGCTCAACCAGGTGAGCTACTGGGGCCTGTCATGCATCATCATTATGGATTAATGACCATGTTTATTATTCTGTTCACAATGATATAAGATAATTAAAATAACATTAATTTAGTAAGAAAATGAATATATTAAATGTCTAGTATTCATCAATGATGCAAACTTGTGGAAAAACAACAATTACTTTAATTACTTTTTTTAAATTAAACCTGAATGAGATCTCATCCTGATTGACAATCTAAGGACCCACTGAGCTCAAACAGCTACTAGCAGTATTAATACTAACAAGGACTTCACCAAAAAGTTTTGAGCTAGCTAGCTAGTGATGAGAAATGACCTGAATCCTGCAGTAGACGTCTGCAACTCAGCTCATTCCTGACTGAGCCTGAAAATAATGACAGTCAAGATGGGTATGGGCTCATTTGTATGTGCATACTGCAGCCTGCAAACATTCAATCTTATAGCTGCAGTATTGCTTTAAAAATAATAAAACCACGCCAGCTCCTTGTCTTTCTTCATCGTACCCCTAACCCAAGTTATAGTTAAACAAATAGTCAGTGTGTTTCCTTTTTACATTACGTAAGAGTCATCTCCCTGTCTGTCCTCTCGGAGGATTCCAAAGACTCAGAGGCCGTGCCACAATAAACAATACCCTGCCACAGCAACAGCACTGCTGCAACTGTGAAAGTATGACAGAGCTGCACAGCACAGTCGGCTGTAATATGCTATTAAACACTCAAGTTTTAGATACTCTAAACTCAAGTTATCCAAAATGTTAGTATTTGTGTGCCAAAACATTGAAAACTGCCATTGGATTAACGTTGGGCTGTACACAGTGATTCTGTTCGTGTTAATCATATGTGAATGTGTGGCACAGAACACATGGAGATAGGAAATCAAACTACCCGTTGTAAGTTTGTGCGCACACTCGTGTGAACACACTGCCAGCTGTGAACTGCAGCGCTGGTTCCTGCATGAAAACCTCAAGTGGATCTGCAGGGCTGGTTTTCACACTTAACTTTCCCCTTCCACAGCTGTCACGTCGAAGGAGGATGAAGTCATATTTTTCATTGCTCAACTTGTAGTTATGAAGTTATGTCTGGCCCCAAATACTTGCCACTGCTGCCTTAGCTCTTTTCCTCACCCGTTCCTCACCCCCCGCCCCTCTCCCTCTCCCCATCCCCATCTCTTTAGCTGCTGAAATCATCCAGAAGGAATGCCTTGCCTTGGTAGAACAAATGATTGGGAGAGCACGAAAAAGAGAGGCAGAGGAGGAAAAGAAAAGTAACAGAGAAATAGTTTTTTTGTGGTGTTGTGAAGGCCTTTCTGTTCTGCTTTTCCCTGGAAACCATAAAGCAGTTCTGAGTACTGGTTCTGTGCTGCCCTGGGCCTTTTTCTGGTGCGCATCGTAAATGGGGTGAAAGAATGCCAGTAAAATGCAAAGATCTGTGGTTTGTGAGCATTCTGCTATTGTTTTCATGGACGTTTAGAGTTTGCATGTCAGCACATGATGCTTTGAATACCAGATGAAGAATTTTAAGAACACATCAATGCACATTACACAATTCATGGTAAAGTCTGTGTTATGCATTCATTTATATGCATGTGTTTGCAGCTGTGCTCACTCAGATGCCTTTTAACACTCAACCGAATGTTTCCTTTTATGGTTTAAAGGACCAGTGTGTAGGATTGAGTGGCATCTAGCATTGAAGTTGCACATTACACCCATTTGAACACATCTACTAAAAACTACCGTGGTCGCAAAAAAAACTTATGAAAAGCGTGACGGACTTATCTAGAGCCTGTATTTGGTTTGTTCATTCTGGGCTACTGTAGAAACATGGCCGAAGAGTACCTCTGTAGATAAAAACGGCTCATTGTAGGGTAGAAAAAAACAAACAATGATTCTTAATTTCAGATTTTCGGTTTAATAAAAACATAGTTATGAAAATTAAATGTTACACACGGGACATTTAAAACACTTGAAAAATGTTAAGTGGGGGGGGGGTCATGTTTTTTTTTGACTCTCAAGACTATTTTTCTAGATTAACCTGCACTCCTGAAGTAAAACATTTTGGACAAAAAAAGTTTCACGATGATGATGGTTTATAATCTATAAATATAAAGGTAGTGTTTGTGTTCCCTCTTGCAGTTTTCTTGGTAGCATAACTGTTTTGAAAAGAAATATGCTACTACAACAAGTGCATTGTTAACATTAACAAGTTAACATGTTTGTGTGTGTCAGTCTTTTATTCAGTTCTTACCTCAAATATCTCCTCACGGCAGACCTCGATGCGGCAGTGGCCGGCCTGGGGTTGTTGCTGAGAGAGTTCCTGCCGCAGGATCTTCAGCTTCTGCACCAGGTCTCTCTTGTATTTGGGCACCGTCAGGCACTCGGCCTCTTCAGGCAGCTGGGCTGGGGACAGAGGTTGCTGAGGGGCACCAGGACCACTCTGGTCCTTCAACTGAGGGGGATGACTGGAAGGATAATGTGGTTGAAGGGGTGGCGGTAAATGAATAGGAAAGATGGAGAGCGAGTGGATAGATGAGTAATAAGAAAGAGGGGAGAAGGGAAAAGACAAAGAAGAATCATATGTCAGTATGAGTCGCCATTCACTTAAATATCAGTATTAAACATTACTTTGTCCTGAGCTGCTCTTTGCCCAATTTCCTTTTGGTGTATTACAGCTGTTTACTGTCACATGGCCTTAGGAATATTGTAGATTTTTTATTGTGCACTGCTTTGACTCAAATGGAAGAAACAGATTTACACAAAGATAGAAGAAAAAGGCATATGTCCTGTAGGGAATTCCCCAGACCCTCCATCCCAAATATCCTCTAACCACATAACTAGGGAGTTTTGTAAGAAATTCCCTCTCTAGCCCTCACCCTGCTCACTCTTCTCAAAGCAAAGAGCACTAAACAGAGCCCTAAGCCCTGAGTAAATCCGATCCAGATCTGTGGACAGGCTGGGCCTTTGACCAGACGTTTGGTAAATATCACCACCAGGAAAAACAGAGAGAGGGAGATAAACCTTGAGTAAGCAGAGAGAAAGAGATACACACAGAGGAAAAGAAAGAGAGAGGGGAAGAAATATACAAAAGAGTAAGAGTGTAAGAGTAGCTGGCGCCTCTGGCCAGCTCAGCTGTACAGATAATTTGGCTTGCTCTCTTTGCTCTCCTCCATCAGGTCTAACATCTCCAACTCCAGCTGTCTCTCTGTGTGTTCAACTCCTTTCCATCCCAAGACATATTTACTTCCTGTCTCAAGACATAAATAAGCTGACAGCCAGGTTTGATTCCCTGTAGGTACCCCTGCCCAACACCAACCACAACTGGAACTTCCATTATCCGACCACTAGAGCTGCCACCCTTCCTCATAATTTGAGGTGGAGGGAAAGAAAACAACAACATCTCTGTAAACTTCCACTCTTGTTGACTAGCACAAGCACCGAAGGTGCCTTTCTCTTAGCTGCAAATGATGTTCTGATAAACGTAGATTCAAGCTACTGCTCTAAGTTCATGTTTGCCTGACCAAAGTGCAGCCTTGTTTAGTAATTCCACAATTTTAGGACAACAAGGTTAAGTGTGGGGAAGGGTGTGAGCAGGGAAGCATGCCTAGCTCTGGCCTCCTCCAGCCCTCATTGTGGCATTGGTGGTAGGATTCCTGGGTGGGCCTCGTAAAAACATAATCCATCTCTCCCCTTCAACCGGACAGCAACCCTCATTTTGCTGTGAAGAGACGCTGAGCCAGCAGAGGACTTCTTTAAAAGAAGCTACTGTCCTCCTGCGAGTGGAGTGTCGAGGCTGCTGTTGGCCAAATACAAAGACGGCACACCAAGAGGCCTGAACTGGTATATAAAAAGGAAGCAGAGACCGTTTAAGGTAGCAACACATAGCCACCCACTTATTCCAACACTCGTTGTACACTTGGGTTCTCTGGTTCAGTGGGTTGAAAAAGGCCTCATCTATTTGGACTTTCCAAACTAAACGGGTGCAGTGTTTCGCCAGTCTATCCCTGTATAATCAAGTCCGCTGCTATTTATTTTATTGGCAGGCGCTGGGGCTCCTAGCATGTCAAAGAAAGGGTAAGACTGCTGTGGAGCAGTCCTGAAAACCACTTTAGGAAGAAGGAGGGGAAGAAAAGATGGCCTTTAAACAAAATGGAATGAGTTGCTTTTGGCTGGGAGGCTCAAGAACCATATAATAAAGCGTAATTTCAGCGCACTTTTTTTCCTTCTGAGGGCACAGTGTAATTAAAAATACGTTTCGACATAGTTCATCGTCTCTGGTTTCCAAACGGGACGAGCTCGGCATATTTTATGGTAAATATAGAAAATACAAGCGCAGCAAAGCTGAAAATGTGCCCGAGCCAAAGGAGAGAAATGGTTCCTATTGCTGTGACAGCTTGGGTGAAATACGACGACTGGGGAGAAATATAAACTTTCAAATTCAATATAAGAGCCAGAGCATTTTTATTATTGTTATTCCAAGGTGGAAGGAGTGGGAGAAAAAGAAACTAGAGAAGTCGAGAAATGAAGGAGTGAACATTTTCCAGAACTAGGTCACCTGCACCTGAACCTGCAGAGTCATGACAGGCCCCCATCCTCTTTCTGTGTTTGCAGGGAGGCAGACTGGGAGTGTGTTAGGTGAGAGAGTGCATGCACTAGAGCGCAAAGGGTGCATGTTTGTGTGTTTAAGAGAACGTTTACTTGTTTCTTTTCCACGGCAGCTGGCACAGGTGGGCTGAAATTAGTGTTGAGTAGGTGTAGCGGTGTTAAAGCCATACCAGCCACCCAAACACACCCACTCTACCCCCCTCCCCCCGTCACCTCCTCACCCAGCCCAGAGAATCAAAGGGCCCTTTATGAGTAAATATGGTCTGAGTATCAGCTGGTGCCCTGCTCCCTTAGACAGAGAGGTCACCTGAACTCTGCAGCTGAATCTACAGAATGTGGAAATGTGTGCATGAGTGTATAGAATTACTTGTTTGGGTAGTATGTGTGTGTGTGCTTTGCCAGTAAACGTGTGATTGCTTCTCGCATACCAAGCTACCGCATCTGCACACTTCTACCAGTTTCAAAAATACAGGAAGTACAGGAAATCAGCCGCAGACAGACTGCAGTGATGAGATGAGATCAACCTACAAAAATATGTTGCATTTGACAATCTCAGAAAATGCCACATGAAAGCTTCGAAAAATGTTGCCATTACAGAAATCATTCTGCTGTACTTTCTGCTTTGATTGGACATTTATGACTATTTTGCCATGGAAAACATTAAAATAAAATAAAATAAAATAAAATATGACAAAGTTACAAACCTAGAATAAACAGAAACCATACTGTGTACAGCATATGAGAGCAAAAAGGAAGTTCGCACCGACTACATATAAACAGAATAAAACAGAAGTTGTAAGATGTGGTAGGAGTGAAATACTTTTAAAATGCATTTAAGTTGTTTTTTTTTTTTTAAACTAGCCAGCCCTGTACTCTACTATACCATGACGGCCCTGAAATGCACCACATACAGACAGATTTACCATGCTATATATACTGAGTAGACAACTGGCATCTACTGTACCATCAAGTCACAGTAGATATATACTGTATAAATACTGTATACATCATATGTGAGATTTATTGTTAACCCATCTTTCACAGGTTAAATATACCACACACCCAAAATGTAATAAATATAATATATAATCATAATTTCCCAAAAACATCAATGCAAGTGTTTATATAAATGTCATGAAGATTTTAAGTTGGTTGGGAAAATACCTGCTGATGCCCACTAAGCCTAAATCCAGCTACAACTAAAAATACCTTCACCAAACACTGATGTAATCTCTCAGACATATACTATGTTCTGGTGCAAGTGAGGGAGCTAAGTATGTGAGAGACTGTGTGGCAGACCACAGTAATGTAGCTGTGTCTGACTGACAATTCAAGGCCTTCATCAGTCTAAGGTCGACGGCACCAGGGCTGTCTGAGTCACATTTAAACCAAGATGTGTCCTGGAGGATCAGTAGACTGAGTTGCAAATTGCAGACTCTCAAATGTGTTTCACACCATCTAATCTTGCAGACAAAACACAAACGGTTTCTACAGATGGGCAGTGAAGAATACACCCAATAAACAACAAAATGGGGTAGGGGATGCAGGGTAAATCAACAATTATTAAGTTCTAGCCACCAGAAATGTTTTTATTAGCAGGACAATGGGGAAAAAATGCCTTAAATGTTATAATTCTCCAGACACAGCACAACAGTGTCTGGAAAGTTTGACATCTGATTTTATTTTTTATTTTTTAAATGACACTGTAGCACCTATAGTCAAACCCATACATTTGACAGGTTTCATGGGTGTAAAAGAACACCTACGGTTACAGCAAAGTGAGAAACGCTTTAAATTGATTACATTTATTGAGTCGCTATTGAGACAAACAATAGGAAATAGTGACAACACTGTATTGACAAAACAACTGGGCACACTTAGCTGTAACCCCAGAGCTCGGTCAACCATCCGGTCTGACAACAGTTTCCTCTGATGGAAGCAGACTTTCATTAGTTTATTGTTACTGCAATCAGTCTCTTTTCAGGTTGAGGCTGACAGTGCGGTTTGCAGTAGGTTTTTATTTCTAAGTCAACACGTTTCTTTTTTCAGTCTCTATCCTGACTTAATCAAAGCAAGCCTCTCCCTTGTAGCTGTTATTTGACTGACCATCTCTCTATATTTATTTTTTTTTTTATTTCATTTTACCAAATAAACAACAGCACTAAAGAGAAAGATGCAAGCCAACAGTAACAACAACATAGGAGCAGAGGTATAAGGGAAACAGAGGCATAACAGCTCAATGCAAAAGAAAATTCCTTTTCCTTTGCACCCTTTTACAGAATGCAAATATGTAGATATGTATAACATGCATTTTTGCTTAAACCTCACACTCAGCACGAGGTAACATGCGACAACCTCGTGCTGAGTGACAACCACCACCTTCAATCTCCCTATATGGAAACAGGTCAATGCAGTGGAGCATTATAGCAGGGTCATGGTGTGAATGTCTGTGCCTGTGTGTCTGTGTGTGTGTACGTGTGTGGTGGACCTATGTGGATGTTGGGTTAAATATTCTTAAATCCTGGCGTTGATAAAAGACAGATGTCCTGACACTAAGCCAGCAGAGAGGCTGATAACTTTAACAGTTTTTGGAGCAGAGGGAAGGGGAGCATAGGATAGAGAATGAATGAGGACAGAAGAGTATGGCAGAGGTTTGACTGGTTGTACTGGTTTATCTTTATAAACAGAGGTCTCAGTAGACCTGAGGAGAACGTATAGCAAGGTTAACTGTTGAAATTGTCAAATGTTAGATATTTGGTATGTACATGTGCAGTATGTGTGTAACAGATTGTTGTCTCTGTGCTTCCGCCCGTGCAGACTGTGTATTTCTGCTTGATGTTGTTTTTGTTTATGGGCCAAC